TGTTTGTTGTATGAATTCCGTTTCTATGTAAGTCAACAACGCAACAATGACTTGAGAAACTTAAATTATTAATGAGTTATTCTTATAAATTTGTTATTTGTGTCTGTATAAAAACGTTTTCGCCTGCCTAGGCCATCCTTCGATAATTTTTTCGCCGAATAAGCCTTGGTATAGTCACGTGACCAAAATGCTTCTACACAGAAACTTCGGGCCTAAATCAAATAGGAATTCCAACATAAAATTAGTTATCGCAGAACCGTTGTGCGTGGAACATTTCAAGACAAGCATTAAAACAAGCGATGAATTCTAGAGGCGTGGAAAGTTGGATGTAACAAAGCCATTAGACTTTTATTCCTCACCTTTGAGGTGCTAGAAGATGACGGAAACGCCCATTTTTACATTTCAATTTTTAGCTATGATTTCCAGAATCTTTGCTTTCTTTAACGTAAATTTTCATACTTGACCATTAAAGAAGAATTCTTTTATTTAAAGTCTTGGAGAAAATAAGGTGAATTAAAGGATTTTGGCGTTTAATTACTACCAAATACTAAAGGGCTCTTTCTACTTATACAAAGCAAAATTTGCCATATGCCGCTAAACATTGACAGTGTCGCATCCAACTGCACCCGGTATGTCAGCCCCTCTATCAGCATTATCACTACCCCTTTCCCTTCCCCTCTTAGAGGGGCAATTACGGGATAATTTAAACTACGCACATTGAATACTGAAAACGGTTTTCTTAAAACGTTTTTCTACTGAAACCATGGAATAAAATGTTTTCGTATTGGTGCGATTCTTGACTGCCTTCAGACCCGCTGAAAGGGGTTGGCGGGGGCATATTAGCCCAGGCCCCGAGCTGAGAGGGGTTCTTAAAAGTTTTGAGAAAATTCCTGGGAAAAGCAAGATAAAGAAATTGCACTTTTCATGACGTCATCACGGGGCAAATCTTTCTTTTGCCTCAGAAAATTCTCAATTGGCCTAGCAGCCTTCTAAATAGAATTTACCTTGCTTTTTTGCTCGACTTGTATAAATAATTGATGTCAACCATTGCGATAATCAGATTGCGTTTGTTATGTCTCGTTTTGTATTCTAGATAACCAATTTATCTGTTGCTGACGTAGGTGTTGCAGAGATGTAGATGAAATGTTGATTCGTTTTATGCAAACAAATAAGCTGATTCATTGAACTGCAATTTCAATGTTTCGGGTCTTTGCTGCGGGATGTCGAGGGTTTCTGCGAGTTGTCGCGGGTTGCTGCGAGTTGTCGCGTTTTTGAAATCTAAATGCCCGTAAGATTGCCTTTTCGATTGGATGGGAACAAAGATGTCGAAAGTGAATCTACTGTTACAATTAACCTAAATAAATTCATTCATGATTTGTACCTGAAACCGTTCCTTGAAACTGGCTGGGGCCCATCTTAGAAAAGCATCATCTTTTGCTTCTTGACTCTCTCAAAATATGGTCAATCTTCGTCGTATGTGTAATATTTTTCATGCCATGCTGAAAGTCAAGATAAAAACCTACCTTTCAGTGAATGAAGTGTCGTAGCCTATTGCCCAAAACTAACTGAAATAACAATTAGGGCTCGAACTTAGAATTTTCCATGCGTCCCCGCCCCCCTTCTCCCCAAATGTCCAAATCTCCAAATGCACCTAGAAGATGCCAATAAGACTACCGGTTTGGGTCCGGGCATTCTCGTAATTTGAAAGACCGTATTTTTTTAACACGTTTTGTTATTTTTTCCTCTGAAAATGCTAGCAAGATCAAAATTCCGGGTCCGGGCACGTTTTGAATCGATAAAAAGGACTATATTAACCGGTTTTATTGTTTTACTTCCAGACTTTGATTGATTTGAAGGATTAGTTGCAATAGCAATCACAATCGCCTATTCAAGCCTTTAGCCAATCAAAACACTGTGATTTGATTTGATTGACATTTCTATTGTTTAATTTTAGCACCATCGTCCTCTGAATCCGGATGGCTCTCGATCGTCCAAGGCACAGCGGGTTCATCTCCAGCTCTGGGATACCGCCGGACAAGAAAGGTATTTTGATAACATCAATGTTTTTACAATAAATCAGGGGATTTTTTAAGGAATTTTCGCTGATGGGAAATTGACACAAAAGGGCATTTTTCTTAACGTGACGCAACTGACGGTAAAAACAAAAGCAAAGGGTGAGTATGCGTAGCCAGGGTTGAAAGATTTGAGGGGCAAACAGGAGTCCGACAAGAGGGGGTCCGGGAAAAGGACGCCCCCTTGTCCCCCCTCGATACACTGCTGTATGCATTGTATGCAAGGCTTCGATTTCTTGCACGTCAGCCCTTACTCTCAGTGGTGTAGTCGTCATTCTTAGGAAGTAGGTCTGCATCACAAATGTCAACAAACAGAAACAAAAATATGAGCTCATTCAGCAAATATTTAACAACACGGCACTTGCTTGTGGGGAATCATGGGGCAACCAGTGGGGAAATTTAAGGGCCTGGCGGGGAAATTCCCCAGAAGTTTATATTTTAAAAATTCCCCTGTGATAAATGTAAATTGTAATGCTTGTGTAAAGTCAATAACTTCGTATGAAAACAAAACCCCTCAATTTTAACTTGCAGTTTGAATATACTTTTATATAAGAACAAATTTTTATTAAGAAAAAAGAGTTGTGTGATGTTAAAACTGGTAATAAAATAGATGATATTTATCAGCTTATCAGCTGTGCTACTAAAAATGTCTTGCAAAACAGTTTCTCATAGTCAAGAAATGATTCATAGTCTATAGTTGTATTAAAGGCAGTCTGTCCTCCTAATGATTGGCTAATGTAAACAATAGGTCTTCCCACCTTAACGGAATACGTTGCTCGCTTTTGGCTGGCCTAGCTGCGGTAGTGGACAACATTCGAAACTGCGAGCAAAAAGCTATCGGAAATCGCAAGAAGATTTAATTGCTAAAATTGAATCAAGGTCATGGAAGCATTTCATTTTGCTCTTGACATGTCTGCCACACAAACCAAACGGGAAACAAAATTATTCTAGCCACAGCTCCATCGAATTTAAAATGATGAATTTTGAAAAAATTTTGTAATGCGAAGCACATTAAATATAACGGCCTCATTGCGAATTTTGCACATTTTCAGCACCTCTATCTATCTATCTATCTATCTATCTATCTATCTATCTATCTATCTATCTATCTATCTATCTATCTATCTATCTATCTATCTATCTATCTATCTATCTATCTATCTATCTAT